CAGCTTTGAATACCCACACAATGTTGGGGACATTTGGTATCAAGCATTATGAAAATTAGATTCACCAGATTTTTAGACACAGAAGAAAACTTGGAGATGATCTTTGTTTTATTCTCTTATAGAATAAACTTGAGATTTGGAGAAGCTAAGTCACTTGCTTTTTCAACTTCACACTTGAAATTATTCTCATGAGAAACTGATGTTGCTTTGCAGCTCCTGGATGGGAGTCATGGAATTAGACTGTCCTAATTCTGTCACTAAATTTGGACAAGCCACTTAACTTCTCCAGAACCCAGTAACTTCATTTAAAATATGAGGGGCATTTCTAAATGGCTTTAAAGGGCCTTGCTCGCTTTAAAATGTTATGAATCTAAGTGCATGCTGCCAGGGGTAGATGGCATAGCAGGATTTTTGTGTTTTGGCTAAGAGTGGAGTAGGTACAAAGGGTCTATCTAGAGGGATAGGTCTTGTACACACGTGGCTCTACTAACAAGGACATAAGTAGAAACTCACTGTAGTAATGAATCGTAGTATTTCTTACTGTGGACAGGAAGCAGAAGAGGCCTCATTGGAATAAGTGGTTCTCTCTGGGCTTAAGTTGTAGCTGGAGTTGAGTGTAAATGATGTGGGTTGAGATAGGTTTAAAAATAATTTAGTGGTTTGTTAGTGTTGTTGAACAGTTCATCTATTTCCTGATATTTTTATTGAAAGGTAATGCATTACTTAGTCTTAAGTTATCATGAATCTTAGAAGAGTCTGAATTTCTTGTATAAAATTATAGCTATGTCTGACTGAGGTCAGACAGATAGCTTGATATTTTATAAGCAGCATTCAGATCTAATCTACTTATTACAGAGAAAATAAGAATGTGCCACAAGTGATTTTAAAGTGAAAACTAGGCATTCAAATCATTTTGTCAATAAGATGGCAAAACTAATTTGATGACTATTTACCAAGTGATTTAAATGACAAAAGCAGTGAAAATAATTCTGCTATGTTTGTTGCCACCATATTAATAACTGCCTCACCTAAAATAATTGATGGACTTCAGATCTACCCTTTGGGATGATTCCAGTACTTCTTTAAACATGTCTTGGGATTAACAGCTGTCAACAGTTAGAACTTGAAACAGATTCAGTTACAGGACTGGATGTCAAGCTAGACGTTTAACGCCACTTTCACCTGTAGACAAGATTATTTATTTATTTATTGCGTTATATGAACTTCAATGATGATATATCTCATCAGGAAGAGCTGTACACTAAGGGAGGAGGGTCAGGGACTGCACTTTCACAAAATATATTTGAACACTAAATAAAGAATTGGTTTATTTCTAAACATTTGAACATGTGAAATTAAAAAAACAAGCTCTAAATGGTGTTCAAATTATACTATAAAATTTACTTCTAGAATGATGCCATATATAAAAGCATAGAGTAAAAAAGAGACTCCTGTTCTATTTCAGAAAAGGTCAAACGTACTGCTTTTCAGAACCTCAGGAATTTAAGAAGCTTGCAATCCTGTCAAAGGACACCTCTTCAAACTCTTGGAATAAATATGATGATTAGGTTAGGTACAAAGTGTGAAATGATTTGCCAATGGCTGCTCTAAACCTCCTTGGAAGAAATGGGGCAGTTGCTCAAGTGATGACATGAATATGAGTTGGAATTAAAAGATAAGAGTAGGGGTAGTTGGGAGATGTTTCTTCATAGGTCTCATGTCTTTACACATCTTGTGAGCAGGACCGAATGCCTTGTTTGGGATTACATTTTCAATCATGTTTCCTAGCAAATACCGTGGGCACAAATGCTTACTGCCCATATAACATATTCAGGTCCCTCACACCAAGGTTCTTCTCCTGAAACCCACTGTAAGAGAAGTGTCACGTGGCCTGTGGATGTTGGAGGGGTCAGAGAATTAACCCAAATGCTGACTCTCTGGCTACTGCTGTTGGTCCAAGTAATCTTTAGTCTTTGGCCCAGGAATCTGAAGTCTTCTACCAATAAGTTAACTTGTGGCAGGATAGTTTGTTAGCTTGCAGACCTTGTGTAGTTTATGAGAGATATTATGTTCCAGAGAGAGAGGAATAGTATGTACCGTACCACGGAGGCATGAGAAGTAACACCTTATGTGAGGAGCTATGACTAGTTTTCCAACTTTAGATCCAAAAGGTACATGAAGGAGGACATAAGAGACCTTATGTGCCATGTAGAAGAGCTTAGATTTCATGGCAAAGAAGCACTAAGGGAATTTTAGCAGACGAGTGACATGATAAATTCTCTGTTAGGAAAATTACTCTTAATAAATATCTGAGTGGTAAATTGAAGGATGAGAACATCTTTTTCTCTAGGTTGGAAGAGATAAGATATATTAAGATGGTAGAGTCAGTTAGAACTAGTGATAGGATGAATAAGGAATTTGAATGACCTCTCGGCCAGTGCTATAGTTTGGATCTAGAATGTTCCTCACACAGGTCCACATGGTAAAGTGTTGGTTTCCAGGAAAGTGTTTTTGGGAGAGGTGGGGCCTACCTTTTAAAAAGTGGGGCCTCGTAGAAGGTCTTCAGGTCACTGAGAGCCTGAGGCCTTGGCACTTTCATTCCCAGCCACAAAGTGAGTTATGCTGTCCCACAAACTCCCACCATGATGTGCTGCCCTGCCTCAGGCCTAGAAGCTACAGGGTCAACTTATCATTGACTGGAGCCCCTGAAACAGTGAGCCAAAATAAACCTTTTCTCTTTACAAAGTGATTATCTCAAGGTCTGTTACAGTGATGGAAAACTGACTAACAACCAAAAAAGTAAATTGTGATGCGGTTCACTGAAATAGAGCTTTTAGGAAGAAAGAGAAGTTTTGGGAAGGAGGGAAGTGAGACTGAGTAGTTTTAAAAGAAATAAATTCCAGCTGAGGTGCTTACAGGTTATCTCGCTGTCCAATATGGCTGATACTGGTGTGGGAGTCGGGAGAGAGGCTCCCATAGGGAGCAACACTTGGGAATTTTGTGCAGCACTCAGAAGGGTGGGCCTTCAGGGATTTAGCACAGTGGTGCCACCGCCTGCCTCTCAAGCGAAAGGTCCTGAGTTCAATCCCCAGTACCAATAAATAATAAATAAAATAAAATAAAAAGGTACTTAAAAAAAAAACAACTTAAGAAGGGTGTGCCTGAGAGTCAGGTGCAAACTGCATCATGTCTCTGTGACAAGTTGCTCCAACTTCCTAGGCCTCAGATTCCTAGTTCCTAAGTGTAGTCTCTAATTGATAAATGTGAAGATTAAAAATGAGACGACATGAAATGTGCCTGGAACTCAATAAAAGTAATCTGAGTATGAGGATGTGGTTGATGCCATCTAAAGATTAGATGAGATTGTTCAAAGAAGAGCAGCAGGACTGAAGGGAGAGGATGGAGTAAAACTGGATGAAAGCCTTCCAAGAACAGGAAAAGAAGCCAGGCACGGTGGTGCATGGCCGTAGTCCTGGCACGGTGGAAGGCTGAAGCAAGAGGAGTGCAAGTGTGAACCTGGCCTGGGTAACAGTGATTTAGTGAAACCAAGTCTCGAAATGTAAAACAGAATAAAAATTAGGCTGGGATGTAGCTCAGTGTGAAGGCCCTGGGTTCCAATTACAGCACTGGGGCAAAAAAACAACCACAAGCAAACAACTTAAAAAGAAGCAATCAGAGAAGATGGGTGAGAAAGAGTTTCAGGAAGAGGTTTCTTTTCCTCTCCCTCCTCCTCTTTCTTCTCCTTTTCTTCTTGAATGGGAAAGACTTCACTCACCCTTTGAAATTTCCTGAGCCCCTACTCTGAGTCACTGCATGGCACTGGGATGAATGGTGGAGGAGAAAGACTAAGTGCCTGCTGTTGTAGAGTTTCTCCCGTGACCATGCTCAAGGGACCCCTGAGACACTGACGGTCCAGGGAGTGAATGAATAGAGACTAGGCCTTGTGATCTTTTTTTGGTACTGGGGATCAAACTCAGGACCTTGCGCTTGTGAGGCAGGCGGTGGCACGACTGAGCTAAATCCCCAGCCCAAGGCCTTGTGATCTTTGAGACAGCTCAGTTTTGCACAAAAGAGTTCTGCTGAAACAAAGGGAGACCCAGTTGAGAGAGGTGGGGTCTAGTAGAAGTAACAGGGACATCTGTTGATGGAGAGGAGCAAGGTGTTGGGAGATGGCCTGTGCTATGTGAATTAAAATGATTTTTAGGATGGTTTTTGGAACAAAGTAGGACCTGAATATGTGTAATGGGATATGAGCTTGTGATTCATAGAGAGTCTTTTAAGACTTGAGTAGGGGCCAGGGATATAGCTCAATGGTAGAGCACTTGCCTACTATGTGTGAGGCTCTGGGTTCCTAAGCACTAGACACACACACACACACACACACACACACACACACACACACACACAGGTGGAATTTGAATAGTAAGGTAAATAACTAGGTCAGTTGTTTGAAACTAGCCTGGTTCAGTGGACCATAATGATGGATGGCTAATATTTTTTTCACAAGATTTTTTTCTTTTGATACCGGGGATCAATCTTGGGACCTTGTACTCGTGAGGCAGGTGCTGGAACCACTGAGCTAAATCTTCAGCCCAAGAATTTTTTTCTAAGAGAATCACCTGTACTGAATTTTATTATCTTGGAAAAATTCCTTGAAATAATTATTCAATAATACAACAGAGTTTAAAGCTGTCAGAGTAGCACTCTATTGTTTCCTATTGTACTTGCCTTTGCTGGCCCTATGAGGCTTATGTTTAACAGCAGTTTCCCAGCAGGGTCTTTGTATCCTGTAATGAGTGTGACAGTTATGCCATTACTAGGTTTTACATGTAATATGATTGCAAGAAAGCTCTTTCTAGGCAGAGCAGATTATTCGAACTAATAGCCATTTCTTCTTACATTTGAGTTTCAGACTTTTAAATTCAGGAGTAATAACTCTCTTAAAGTAGATACTGCGGTGACTTCATTAAATTCTAATGCCTCTGTTTTTCCTCCCCTAGGAGTCTGCATCAGAAGCGTGTAAAATAGATTGCTTGGTCCAAAATAGAAAACCAGTGGCAAGATTTTGCTGAGTCCCTAGACCTTTTCCCAAGATGGAACCAATAACATTTACAGCACGGAAACATCTGTTTCCCAGCGAGGTCTCAGTGGACTTCGGCCTTCAGATGGTGGGCTCCTTGCCTGTGCATTCTCTGACCACCATGCCCATGCTGCCTTGGGTTGTGGCTGAGGTGCGAAGACTCAGCGGTCAATCCTCCAAAAAGGAGCCAGTCGTCAGGCAAGTTCGGCTTTGGGTTTCACCCTCTGGACTGAGATGTGAACCTGACCCAGGGAGGAGTCAACAGTGGGACCCTTTGATCTGTTCCAGCATCTTTGAGTGCAAGCCACAGCGTGTTCACAAACTGATTCACAACAGTCATGACCCAAGCTACTTTGCGTGTCTGATTAAGGAGGATGCTGTCCACCAACAGAGTATTTGCTATGTATTCAAAGCTGACGATCAGACAAAAGTAAGTCGAGGGCCGGGGGTGTTGCCTAGTGGTGCCGCCCCCGCCTGGCAAGCACAAGGTTCTGAGTTCAAGCCCCTGTACTGGGAGGAAAAAAAAAAAAAGTTGGGTAGAAATGAGTAAGGCATGCCTGAACAGTTTTTCTTGTACAGGGACCAGGAAATTTATTTTAAATATCCTAGAATGAGTAAGGAGATAATGCTGCAGTTATATAGAGGTTATTTAACAAAATTTTGGGTAAATGGGGATAGCTTATAGCTTTTTTTCTGAAGGACATTTTAAACAGATATTTGGAATTATAAGTTTATAATTTCAAAAATTCAAAAGAGAAATCTGTATAGAACTATAAACAAGAGCTGGAGTGTTAGAACTCATCATTTAAGATGTCTGTCCTACATTCCAGTGCTTCTCAAACTCAGATATGCTGGTGAATCATGGTGGGGGCAGGGTTGAAATGCAGATTCTGATTCAGTAGCTGATGGAGCCCAATACTGCATTTCACTCCAAGATTGTGTCTCTCACAAGCTGCTGGGTGATGTCGATGCTGCTCCTTTGCAAGTTGTACTTTGAGTAAGAAAGTTCTAGATCAGTAATCTCCACATTTTTAATGCCATTTAAAAAAAATATAGTTATTTATAAACTGTGTGAAAATGCTTTTATCCAGTTTCCTAAGACATAGTGCTCATTTAGGCAAAGGTAATTGATAATGGATATGAATCTAAGCTTTGATACTTTCATTTCTTTTGGTTTTTTTTTTCTTTTACCAACTTCATATCAGATTTGATTAGTTTGTTACTGTTTTATCTTATGATGTATCTAAGAAAAATATATGAGATGTAGTCAAAGCTCTGCTATTTTCCTGCTCATTTGTGTTCACATTGTTATTAGCATTATTTGTAGTTCTTTGCAGGGCTCATCTAAAGCTACTTCTACGTTTTGTGAGGATTTGTCTGGATAAAATTGAAGCTATAACCCATATGGCCACTTTCTCACTTGTGCCCCCAAAAATGCAATTTATACAATACACAGAAAATAATAAACAGTGGAGGGCCCCACAGCTAACCCCATGCATGTGCTGTGGAACCTCTCTGTTACCGTAGGTGTCACGCCTGCCTGAGTGACTCCAGCTGTTGGCCATAAGTACTGGGTGAGGACGCCACTGGTGATCTTAGGGCAGATGTCCATAAAGCCTAACCCTTGGTATTTTCAAATTTCAAATATGAATAGAAATGCTGATGTCTTCTCTTTGCACCCCATTAGGTTATTTTGCATGTTCTGTGGGGTATAAGAACCTGATTTGGAAGTTAATATTTTGTCCCAAGTGTAGTCCGTCCTCCTTACCCACAGTTGAATCCATTCTGCCTTCAACCAACTGCAAATAGAAAATATTTGAAAAAAAGTTGTGTCTGTACTGAATGTGTACAACTTTTCTTTTCTTGTCCTTATTCCCTAAATAATACAGAATAACAACTATTTATATAGTATTTACATTATAGCAGGGATGAAAGTAAATCAGAGCTGACTTAAAGTATATAGGAGTTTGTATATGGATTATCATTTATATAAGATGCTGGAGCATCTTTGGGTTTCGGTATGGGTGTGAGGTCCTGGAACCAATTCCCTGCAGACTCTGGTGGAGATTTGCTTTTGTTAGCTCACTGGGAGCTTCCTTTACTAACTGGTTCAGGGACTGCTGCTCCAGGTACTGTGGAGATGCCTAAGAGAGGCAGTAGGAAGGCAGAAGCATCAATAGGGAGCCAGATCCAGTGGTGCACAGGGCATGGTGGGAAGACAGAGATGGAGCCCAACACACACCCGAGGATAGGGAAGGCTTTCTGAAAGAGCCACTGTGGAGCTCCAAACCTCCATTTCACCCATAGAATCAAATGTCTTGCCGTTATAGGTTGTGTGATGTTACTGCCCATGAATCTCAAATGGGCAGGACAGCATGGTGCTGGATGGTCAGAGGAATTGACTTCCTGGATTCTAGCCCTATCTCTGTCATGAATAAAACGGGCTGACCTCAGGCAACTGACACTGTTTCCTCATCAGTAAAATGGGGTAATTATAGTATTGACTCAGAGTTGTTGGGAGCACTGTATGAGGTAGCATGAGATCTGAAATTTAGTGAGAGGTCTGGTGTGTAGCTCAGTGGTAGAATGCTTGCCCAGGGTGCTTGAGGACCTGAGTTTGACTCCCAGAACTGTGGAGAGGGGGAGGGAGGGAGGGAGGGAGGGAAGGAAGGAAGGAAGGAAGGAAGGAAGGAAGGAAGGAAGGAGAAAGAGAGAAAGAGAGAAAGAGAGAGAGAAGCTTAGCATTTATAGCCATAAAAAATTATTGAAGAAAGTTTACTGGAAGCAGATTAAATGCTAATTTCATTTCAAGTCTTTGCTAAAAAGAAAAAGGATATTGTGATATATGTCTTCCGCTCCACAAATGAGGTCCTGGTCATCCTGGAGCAACATTTTAAACTAGACACTTATAAACTGCATAAGTGGCCGGGTATGGTGTTGTGCACTTGTAATCCCAGCACTTGGGAGGCCGAGGAAAGAGGATCATTGTGAGTTTAAGGCTAGCCTGGGCTACATAGTGAGTTCAAGGCCAGATTGAACTATATAGTGAGAACCTGTCTCAACAACAACCAAAAAAAACTACATAAATAACCTTCATAGTCCTTATTATCAGGGCAGATTCCAAGATGACAACAAGAGGGTTGAGCAGCCTACCCCTAGGCCAGCTCTATATAAGGGCTGCCTTTCCTTGGGGGAGGTTTTATATGGGAGGGTTGTTCAGCACTTCACACTTCTGACTCTCAGAATCTTTCACAGCCACCTGGGAATAGGCTCTGGACAGTCATTTAGGTACTTGACAGGAGGAAAGATTTATAACTAAATTCTATTATTGAGACGTCTTGCCCAAAGTAGAGATCTGGCCTTATTCTGTATTCTGAAATGCCATGGTTGAAATATGAATTAGTTCTTCAGTTATTTTTGGCTTGCATACAATTTTTGCAAAGACAAATTATCATTACCAAGAGTATAAATTGTTGCTGTTCTGCTCATTTTATAAGAGTTATTTGTAATGCAGGTACTTCAGTTAGGGAGTTGGTTGCTGGAAACAGAATGGTAAATGATATTAGCCATGATTCTAACTGCCATGATATCTGTTACATTCTGGGGACCCCGATACCACGACACCGCATGGCAGAGGACTGCCTGCAGTGGGAAAATGTTAACCTCTCCCGTCATTTTTCTTGACTCTTTGTAACATTTGCTCAGTGAAGAAATTCTCCAGATTAAGACCTCTTCTAAATAGATGAGGTCAGCATGTACTGTGCTTGCCAAAGGAGACACATGCATTTACTGCCAGGGTCAGAAGCACAAAACTTCTCTTTGAGAAAATCCTTTGATCAGCATCTAAATTAACTTGTTGAGAAATCTCTAGGGAGAAGAGGAACATAAATTAATAATTTTACAAGCGCACTATGAGATTCTGCTTCCCCATGTAGGCCCCATAGAATGTGCTCAAGCTGTCCACACAGAGTTTCCATGACCAAATGCAGTACGGCAGATTTAAAAAGTTATTGATGATCCTAGAAAGCATCAGTTGACGTGGGATATATCTATGAAGATTCACTCCACTTGAATAAAAACTGAGATATTATAAAGATACTGATTTCTGCCGCCTGCCTCGCAAGTGCAAGGACCCGAGTTCAATCCCTGGTACCAAAAAAAAGATACTGATTTTTAAATTTCTTTTAAAATGAAAGTAATAAACTCTTACACATTAACATAAATAATATTTTTGTACATAGTAACTATATTTTCCAAAAAATATTTAGCGGTAAGGATGGCTATGTTAGTCAGCTTTCCATTGCTGTGACAAAATACTTGAGAAAACAATTTAAAGAAAGAAAAGTTTATTTTGGTTCAAGGATTCAGTTTTCAATCCCTTGTTGGCTGGCTCTTTTGTCTCTGGGCCTGCAGGGAGGCTGAACATCTTAGTGCAGAACACACTGTAGAACAAAACTGCTTACCTTGTAGAGGAAGAGAGCAGGAGACAGGGTGCCAGAGACAAGATGTGTCCTTCCAGGTGACTCCCCCAGTGACCTACTTCCTCCAATTTGGCCCCACTTCTGCAATTTCTACCACCTCCCAGTAGCCCATTTGGTTATGAACCCATCAATGGATTGATACACTGATTAGATCAGAGTACAATCTCCTCTCCAAACCACCCCTCTGAACGTTGTTGTACTGGGGACCAGGTCTTTAGTACCTGGACGGGCCTTGGAGGGACATTCCAGATGCAAACCATAATAGTGGCATAGTTTTATTTCATTTTATTTTTCCAAATCTTTGTAATATCTAGATTAATAGAAGAGATTGGATTCTCACGGCTGCTTCTTAATTCATTCTGTTGCCATATGTTGTTTTGATTGAGTCTATGGAGAAACTTTGACCTCACACAGATATGTTGTAGGAAAATGGAGAAATTGTGGATATGTTTCTTTAACACTACAACTCAATAAGTGGTAGTTTCTTAAAAGTTGGCTGCAGTATGAAATTTGAAACAATATCAAAACACTTTTTGCACTTTGTTATGTTAAATCCATTGTTCTACATTGTGTTTTAGTGAACGTTCTAAGCTTGCATGATTCTGTACTCTCATGCATTCACTATTTAGAAAACATTAGTTCTTTGAGTTTTGTAGACCATACTCTGAGCATTGCTGCATTATGGAAACACTGTATTTCCTGTTCCCTTCTTGAGTTGTATGTTAGTGCCTTAAAAGCTCTACAAATTCCTGCAGCAAGACAGACTCTTTAACCCTGGTGAGTGCAATTTTCCTCAAATTTGTGGCGCCATAGCTTAAACTTTTTAAACCACCCATAAAGCGTAGTTTAGAATCTGAGCTTGTGGTAAGAAATGAGTGCATCCACCCTGGAGAACTGGTGCCTGTATGGGTGACCCTGAGTCGATCTTTTCCCTCATTAGTTCACAGAG